TGTCTCAAATAAATAAATAAATAAATCTTTAAAAAAAAAAAAAAAGAAAAGTGAAGTGTCATTGGCTTTTTATCTGCCTTTTAATTTTCAGAAAGATTTAAACCCCATGAAATGCACTTTAAACAACAGGGACAAATTACTGCCCCTTCTGATGTTAACCACTAGACTGACCACACGAGGATATGCTGTGGAGGAAGGGGCTTAAGGATAATAGAGATATTTCAAAGCACAAAATGTTACCACATGCAGTGAGAAGGCTTGTGAGTCACTGGAATAAAATAAGTTTCTGGAATAGATAAAGTGAGTTCCAACTTTAAAAGCCCAAATTTCATATAACCCAAATATCTGCATCCATCTGCACCCCAAACCCCATCACTATGCCTGTCTCCCTGTTTCCTTCAGCAACCTCCACCCTCTCTTATTCCTCACCCCTGTGTTGCCAGAGCTGCCAGTAGTCAATACGTCTCTTTTGCTGTTGAAAACAAAACAAGGAAAAAATGCCTTGAATCTTTTAGGCCACTGGCTCCTAAGTTTAAATATATGTTAAGAATTGCCTGGGATACTCGCTAAAAGTGCAGATTCCTAGTGCCACCCCCTCTCCAAGATCTTGATTCAGTAGGTCTGCGTAGAGCCTGGCATTTAAAACAAGTATAATCCTTTGGGGAAAACTTGATAATAATTTCAAGTGCCATACAACTGACCATAAACTTGGGTCCAATAATCTCTCCTGGAAATTTATCCTTCTTAAAATAAATTATCCAAAATTAAGGGGGAAATCTAATGCATGAAGATATTCAATAATATTCAGTTATTACCTACTTGTCTATCAGGAAAACTGGCAACTCCCAAAAATATATAAAATGGAGGGGAAAAAGGAGTAGTAATGCAGGCTGTAGTAATACAGCCAAATACTGTTTAAGGACTTGACATTTATTAACTTAACATTTGAGTCCCTATAGGATTTATTCCAGCACCAAAGTCCACACCCTTAAGCACAGTACGTACTATACTGCCTCTTAATAGGTAAGTCAATTAGTCCATTAACACACATTAGCCTGACGGAAAGTTACGCCACCATTAAAAATTGTAATTGTGAAGATGTAATAACTTGAAAAATACTTATGTTTTAAAAACTGCATACTTTTGCCTTTGTACAGAAGCTACAAATCCTAATTACAAATGGATAAACTCTGTATAAGAGGGCTCAGCTGACTGGGACCAGGTGGCGAACACGCTGCACAGAGGCTGAGAGGCTGGGGAGTTAGATGGATCTGGGCTCCCATCTCAGCTCCACCATAACTAGACAAGTCTTCTCTGGTCAGCTCCTTAACCTCTCTGAGCCTTAGCTTCTTCTTCTGTAAAATCGGGATAAGGCTTCTTCTTCCGGAATTAGGGCTTTTAATCATCTAAAACCACCACCGTGTACCTCTGTACCCCTCCCAGCTCTCCTCTCACAAGTTGTAGGCTTTCCTCCCAAGCGGCAACCTCTGCATTAAGATAATATGGATTATCTCATCTAATCTGGATGATAACTCTGTAAAGTAGATACTACTATTATCCCTGTTCTACCTCACTAGTTTGACTGAAATCAATTTTTTTCTTAAAGTTATTTAAGTCCAGATATCTCAATATAACCTATATTTATTTCTATTAATAAGTACACTAATTGACCACTGGAACCCTGAAAGCGAAACGTTAGTCTTATTATTTTAGAATCACACCAGAGGGGACGCCTGGGTGGCTCAGCCATTAAGCATCTGCCTTCGGCTCAGGTCATAATCCCAAGGTCCTGGGATCGAGTCCTACATTGATTGGGCTCCTTGCTCAGCAGGAGGCCTGCTTCTCCTTCTCCAACTCCCCCTGCTTGTATTCCCTCTCTCGCTGTCTCTCTGTCAAATAAATAAATAAAATCTTAAAAAAAAAAAAATCACACCATAGAACCAATCATTTTAAGACTTGGATTTTTCTGTCATTCCGTAACTGATTTCCTTCTAAGAAAGTCCACCTTATACCACTGTGTTCTAATAAGTGTTAGTGTATTTCAAAAACAACTAAGAAACCTTTTTCTCTGTTATCTATTCCTCTAAATTAAGAAATGAAACAAATGTCTCTGCTAGATTAGCAGTAACCCTCAGAATTAGAAAACACCACATAAAATACAAGCTCATGTGCTGCCACCAAAGTCTAATCAGTTCTTTCTGGGGGGATGATTAGACTCCTCAAACCTTCAGAGCCTCCAGCTGGCTGAGCCCTTGTGCTTGCCAGCACAGAGGCACTTCAGGATCTTGGGCTGCCCTGCCGTGAACGCAGCGCCGACGTACACAGATGCGGTATACCGTGATGGCTTCACTGGAGTAGCAACGTCTGAACTACTTATCCAGTTCTTTACGAAACTGCTGTCCAGATACGTTTATCTATCCATAAAATGTTTTTCAAACTGCTTGGTCGTACACAAGGATTCTGCACTTTAAAAACATTCCAAAGCAACAAATTGATGACTCTGACAGCATTTCTAACAGCTGAATCATTGGATCGGTTCCACACTTACCGGGGAGGGCAGCCTGGGCACTTGGAAAGTTCCATGGCTTGCCAAAGGTCACCAAGCCTGAGAGGCATTGTTCTGCTCTGGACTCTGAGTTCCCAGATTCTTGCCCTGTACAGCTCTGAGCCACCTCTGCCTAAAGCAGTTAAATTCTTCCTATGTAGCCTAAGAAATCTTATTTTCTTCTGTGATATGGAATATCATTTTGGTCATATCTATTAGTTTTTTTAATTCTTCGTTTTTTTCATTAGATGCTTACAAAAGCCCTAGCAAGAATTTCATAAGCATAAAAAGCATAGAACCAATATCTATATCTGCACTGTCCAATATGGTAACCATGAAGCCACAGGTGGCTACTGAGTGGTTAGTATGAATTGAGGTATATTGTTAAGTGTAATATAGATATCAGATTTCAAAGACTTACTACAAAAAAAAAAGTAAAGTATGTCATCAATAACTTTCTAATACTGACTACATGTTGCAGTAACATTTTTGAGTCATTGCATTAAATAAAACACATTATTAAAATTAATTTCACCTTTCTTTTATATTTTTTAAATATAGCTACTGAAAAATTTTAAGTTACATATGTGGCTCTCATTATATTTCTATTGGGCAGTGCTGGTCTATATTATCTGGAATATTTTGTTGCTAGAAAAACCATTTGAATTTTTCAGTGAGCTTTAAAAACTGATGAACTCCTCCCATGAACTCCAAATGTTTGTTTTCGTATACTCCAAAAATTTAAAAATTTCCATCATCTCTTTACCTTAGTTTTCATACTGGCAATAATAAAACTTTAAAGTGCACTACAAAATCCTACTTACACCATATAGCTTTGGGGTTTCTTTTCCAGTGAGTTTTTTTCCAAGTAATGAGATAAATAGTACAACAATGCCATGAGGAAATTGTCAAGATTTTTATTCCTAAGGGAAGAATTAAAAAAAAAAAAAATAGAAGAAAGAAATGAATGCTAATATATTTATTTTTTCTTCAAATTTTTATTTAAATTCTAATGAGTTAACATATAGTATAAACATATTTCAAACATAAAACTTTTTATAAGAATATGTGGGCACATGACATAAAAATAAGTAGAAATACATGTTATCATGCCTATCACACAACTAATTTACCATTTAAAATTCTATCTACTATACTATTGAAGATGTAAGAAATCTGACTTTTGTAACCAAACTTTTTAGGGGGTCACATACTAAATTACAGTTTTGTTTATCAATTAGTTTTAATTTTTAAGAAGTTCTCATTATACAAATAATATTTTCCACTGTTTAAAAAATGTACACAAATGTGTAAAGTAAAAAGTCCTCTCACTTCTTTGCTACCATCCTACTTCCAAGCGACAGCCACTGCTAAGAGTGGAATGAATCCTTCCTAAACTTTTCAAAGCATAGACAATTACATATAAGGTCCTCCCCCACCAACGCACATACATATGCATGAATATATGCCTTAAAATTTTCTTTGGTAACAAAGAAGATAATGCTATATATATACAAGTCTTTGCAACTTGCTTTTTTCACTTAACTGCTTAGCATGGACCTCTTTGCATGATACTATGTATCAATTTTCCTCATTCTTTTAAAAGCTGGATAAAGTTTTCTATAGCTCGTATTTTATTTAACTAGTCCTCTATTGATGGATATGTAGTTCTTTTAAAAATACTATTGACATTGCTGCAGTAATTATCCTTGTGGCCACGTCTCTGAGTAACTTCCTAGGAGTGAAATTGCTAGGGCATGGTGTACAGCATATTAAAGTTTCACAGTTTTGCTCTCGGAAAAGGTTGCATTGATTCACAATCCCATCTCATTTCTTTTAAAACTAGAAGCCTTCTTAGAAAGTCTTCTATCTAAGTATTCTTACAAGATTTTTGCTGCTTCCTTTCTAGCAAATGCAAATTCTTACTGGCATTCTTTCTTCAACTATACCTTGACAACCGGATGAAGATGAGCATTGCAGATTTTTTTTTCACAACGTTAGTAACTACCTGTCCTGGGCTGGGTTCTCTCAGAAACAGACTCAGACAAAGATGTGAGAGTCAGTAGTTTACTTAGGAAGTGCTCACAGGAAACTTGAGTAGCGGGTTGGGGAAGCAAGACAGGAAAGGGAAGGAAGCCCACACAGCGGGTGTTAACAAGTTCATTATCCCTGTGGATAAATGCAGTTCAGTCCTGTGGGGGGCTCTGGGAGACAGTGCAGAAAACTTCTGAGTTATCCTGACAGAAGGAGGCTGGGATATCTTTGTACCAACTCTCCATCTAGCACAACTCTGGCTGAAGGCTGCTTCTGGGACACTGACAGTGCTCCCAGCTTGCCCTATGGTCAGGCTGAGTGTGCTCCTGCTGTGGAATAAAGCTTCAGGTGCTTGCCACAAGCAGCCTTCGCTGAATGCTGAGGGAATGTGGGAGGGCTGCCAATCTTGGGTACCCAGTTCTCATTGAACACCGACTCTCAGCCAGACTGAGACACAATTACTTCCGATTTTGTATCTGAGGAAACAGGCTTAGAAAGGTCAAGAAGCTCACCCAGAGTCATACACCTAGTACTTGCGGGGGCTCCAAACATGGAGAAAACTGATCTTCAGTAAGTGAGTCTACCCTCTAACCATTATATAAATATAATGTAGTCTTTATGGGACTTTGACAACGTGCTCTCCATACTTCTTGCCCTGGGACTTTCTTTTCGGCTCCTGTGACTTCTGGCTTCCTGTCTTTGGTCTCAGTCTTGGGGACTGAGTCCTGAGGGGATGGCTTGCATAAAGCCAGTCCCATGTCCTTTCTCCAAAAACCAGATTTGTCATCATTTATCAGTTAAAATTGCTTCAAATTAAGGATAAAAGGTCTAAAATGTCTCATGAGCATTACATACCTCATAAATGTTGTAAAAGAACAGATCCGCTGCATCTCAGTATCTTGTAGCAAAAACAAAGCAACAACTGAAAGGAGAGAAGACGGACAATTGAGAGAGGGACAAAGGGCTGTGTCAGAGATTCACTCCAGATAGGATATGTGAAGATGATGAAACAGTTACTCACATTTAGCATCATGTAGTGTCACGTTGCCCTGCTGACCTCGTTTCTCTAAGGCTTTAGGTGACTTATCGTCTCTTGAAGCAAACTTTTTATCTGTCAACCTATTTTAGAATAGAACAGTCTCTAGTGGTGGTTTGAAAGGTTTCAGTTGTATTTAATTGATCCTGAGGTACATGAGACTTTTACTATAAAGTAAGGAGAGCATGAGTGTCAAAACCCAAAAAAGGGTTTTGTTTAATGGAGGAGAATTCTGGAATGCATTTTATTAAACATTATATTTACCAGGCTAGGGATAGGAGAAAAGCCTGATATAAAACGTAAATACCAATTCCATCCAAAACAGATCATTTAAATCACCAATTAATCATCCTTTTAGATAATTCATTCATGGTGTAGCTACCATTTTCAGATTTTTTAAAAAAGTATAAAACGTTGAAAATTTGCTATGAGCCAAATTATCACAGGGATACATCTGCAGGGACTATTGTAACACCTCCCATAATTGAGAAACAGTGCATGTTCTTTCCTTAAAAGGTATCTGCATATCAACCTCAGATAATGGGAATGATATTTTCTAGAATTTGTGGGGGCGCCTGGGTGGCCCAGTCGTTAAGCGTCTGCCTTCGGCTCAGGTCATGGTCCCAGGGTCCTGGGATCGAGCCCCGCATCGGGCTCCCTGCTCAGGGCGAGCCTGCTTCTCCCTCTCCCACTCCCCCTGCTTGTGTTCCCTCTCTTGCTGTGTCTCTGTCAAATAAATAAATAAAATCTTAAAAAAAAAAGAATTTGTGACAACTTGAGCCGTTCTGCTGAGAGCGGTCAGTAGCACTGCCACAGTTGGGAAGTGAAGGTACCTGTCTGAAGCGGGACCGTCAGTTTCAGCAAAGTGTATTGCTTTGCCTTTCTTTCCTTTCTCCTTCAGTTCTATTGCAGGTGTAAAACTGTAATAGAAAGGAGAAAATTAGGACCCTAACCTCTCCCCGGGGCGGGGGAAGACTGATCCTCTCAGGACAGTAGCTCATGGCATCTTAGGACTTGCAGATGTTATGAGTGGCGCCTGAGGGGAATCTGAGGTACTGCGGTACTCGAGTCACATTATTTACATATGGAACAACCATCTAGAAAGAGATGAACGTTTCAGGCTTTACGTTCAGCCTCTACATATCCGAGGTCTCCAGAACACCACCATACACAAAACATTTCCATCTGAAAATGTCATAGTAGCTTCACAAGAAACCGAAAGCTCATGAGAGGTCTGGAGAGATGTTTTTATTTACTGAGCGCTTGTTACGCACCAAGTGCTTTTAGGCACAATCTTGTTCAATCACAGTGCCTCTACGAGGAAAATATTACTAGTATGGCCATTTTTACACACGGAAAAACCAAAGCTTGGAAAGAGATAAGTAACGTGACCAAGATCACTGAGCCCGTGTCGGAGCCAGGATTGGGGTCCAGGATCTCTCAACGCAGAGCCATGCGCATACCCACCAGGCAGTCCTGCCTCCTGAGCTGCCATCTTTGTTGTCGCTGCGCTGGACTCTCGACTATCTCACGGAAGGTTTCAGGACCCTTTCTTTAACTCAGGGTTTCTTAAATTCTAAGGTCATACAAACATTTACTAAGCAGTAATGGGGCTAAGAAGGGACCATGACTAAGCAACAAACACACAGATACTGAGGCCATACTCTGTGTCACACATTGCTCTGACAGGAAAAGAAAATGGTGTCTGTTCGAGTCCACGCACAACCTCTCGGGAATATCAGCAAATGCTTAACAGAAAAGCCAAGAAAAACATTTTGAAGACCAGCAGAATGTGGTTCCTGCCTTTACAGAGAGTACATTTTCTGGGAAAACTGGGATGTCTACCAAATACATTGGTTTCGAAACCCACCGTGGATTATGATTTTCACTTTTTCTGTCTGAAACAATGCCACAGTGGTAACACGACCCAGAAGCTTAATTTCTGCCCACAGTTTGATGTCTCTCTGCTAAGCTTAAGTGCAGGTGTAGTAATAGAAGCACATTTCCCCCAGACTTTACTCATTTTCTAAAGACGGATATCAATCATGTCTACTCTCTTCATCTCCTTGCCAGCACAATAGTTTTGTGTATTTTAACAGGGTTTTTTTTTTTTGACACAACAGTTTTGAAACAACTTCCTTTGAAAATTTTCCTTGATTGATGTTACCCACAAAGTAATCATTTTAGAGAAATACTTTCCCATGGGAATAATAAAGTTAATCAGTTTGGTTCTTTCTTCCTCTAGTTTTTGCCAACCTCCTAGCAGTATTCAGGTTGTAGAATAAGTTAGCTCCTAAAAGCATGTACATCATGTCACCGCAAGGAAATGATCCTTTGCATTTTTCAACTCTTTTTTTTTTTAAGGTCATTGGCACCACGTTGGTCAGTGGATGATTTCTAAGCTTTTCATTCTTTCTGATGCCTCCAAGGATTGGGTATTTAGTGGGGAGAGTATGCTGAAATACTGAGGGGGTGGGTGGGAAAAAAAAAGAAATGGAAGAATACCAAATGTTGATGATGGCTACTGCCAAAGAGAGACGGGGGATCAGATGGGGCAGAGAGGTGAAATGGTGATAAAGAGGTCTATCTTCCAATCTGTGTACTTCCATTTTGAGGTGTTTCTTTTTAATAATAAGAATATATTGATTTATTTCCTGCATCACTAAGAAAAAGTTGATAGAGACACATAGAAAGAAAACACTATATGGTTGATATGTTATATTGACAGACCATTTGGACAGCCTTTAACAAAATAATCAAATCTCCCAAACATCCAGACTTTTTTTTTTTTTTTTAAGTAGGCTCTACGCCCAGCATGGAGCCCAACGCAGGGCTCAAACTCACGACCCTTAGACCAAGACTGGAGCTGAGATCAAGAGTCAGATGCTTAACCGACTAAGCCCTCCAGGGGCCCCCCAGACATTTTCTAATGGCTCTCTGAAGCCATTTCTCCTTGCTAGATGCCTTGTGCAGATTCCTTCATATAACCATCCTAAAAAAGAACACAAAATTGTTTTCCCATTTCTCCTCGGATCATCACACTGTTTTGGCCACTTACGAGCCACTGGCTGTTAACTTTCCTACCCCAGGCTAAGGAAGTCACAGGTCACCAGCTCTCCCAGGATTTCTTTTCTCTTTCTCTAGAAGACAAGAGAAGATAGATACACCCAATCTTAGTGACTGCCAAATGAAATTGCTGTCTCCTACCCTCTTCTCAGTCCTATCCCTATCATTCAAAGTGTCTTGCCCTATTTGCCTGAGATGATTTGAGATGAGAGAGCCTTAAAATAAGACACTAAGTGCCTGTCCTTCGCCAATAGTCTGACATTTACTGCTAAGCTTCTAGTCCTTATTCTCTGACCTTCAGACACGCCTTCTCTACTTCCCGCTATTCTGAGCGGCTGTTCCCTTGAGTCAAGTCATTCTCTAGCTTGCCTGGTGAGGAGGATTTCTCCCTGTGAGTGCCCTGCTGTAGCTCTACAGGCGGACTATGCTCACAGTGCATTTGAAATCACTACAAAGCATCACTAGTAATAACTGAAAGCTATTTCAGTAATAACTGAAAGCTAGAATCGTACCTCTGATTGGCTCCCAAACCGCAGTCTGAGCTAGTTCTGTGCCCTCCTGCAGTCTCCATTTCCCCCTCCATCTGGCAACCCCTTTAGAATCTGGGCCTTTCTCAGACCACATTTTGTTACATTCCCAGTATTACAACATAATCATGTCGTTTCCCTTTGCCCTGAAATAAATGAGGAAAAGAATCATATTTTCCCCTAGAACCCATCCCTAAAATGCAGAGGGCTGGACCACCCTTGGCTTTCACACAAGTTAGAGCTCCTCAGTGGTTATTAGAGTCTTCTCTCAGGCCCCGAGGAAAGACAAGAGGAGTTTGGAGCTCCTGGAGGTTGAGTTTCCTCAGCTGTATATCCTCAGGGGAGTCAATGACCTTGGCAAAGACTCAGGCGGGCTGCTGACTCTCTCCCAGCTGTGAGGAGGGGCTCTTGAAACAAGAAAGAGTAGGACAGCTGACACTGTGTTAGAAGGAAGCCTGCCTCATGGGCCAACCCAGAGGTGGCCTGTGAAGAAAGGTATTCCCTCTTTAACAAATAAGAAATGGGCATGCATGCTGGTGAATTATGCAACACCCTCATTTACGCCTCACAAAGCATTATTATTCCATTTTATAGATGAGGGAACTGATCATCAGCGAAGCTAAGTAACTTGACAAATATAACCACCTAGTCAGTGAGAGACGTAGGATTTGAACCCTAGGTCTTTGAACTTTCAGGCCCCCCTTCAAAGTCTCTTCCTTAACTGCCTATTAAGAAATAATGACCGGATGGGGCGCCTGGGTGGCTCAGTTGTTAGGCGTCTGCCTTCGGCTCGGGTCGTGATCCCAGGACCCTGGGATCGAGCCCCACATCGGGCTCCCTGTTCCGCGGGGAAGCCTGCTTCTCCCTCTCCCACTCCCCCTGCTGTGTTCCCTCTCTCGCTATGTCTCTCTCTGTCAAATAAATAAATAAAATCTTTAAAAAAAAAAAAAGAAATAATGACCGGAGGGCCTGGGTGGCTCAGTTGTT